CCCGCCATGCTGGCCGGGGAATTCTGGGAGTTGAAGTCCACCTCTCTGAAAGCGCCCCAGGTTGAAAAACACTGATATAAGCAATCATCTGGCACAGGGACATCCTGGTGGAAGACCTCTGGATGCCCCCCGATTTCCCTGCCCTGTATGCTAAAAGGATGCTGCTTTGACACGGCCTGAAAGGGCTTTCAGAGGCTTGCAAAGGCCGCTGCCCCCATGTTGCCAGCCCTTCGAGGTCGGCCAGGTCGGGAAAGAGACCCCCGAGAACCACCAGGACTGCACCGAACAGAGTCCGACTGCAACAGCAGCATCCTGAAAGCCGGACCGCCTCGTATGCCAATGAGCCTCAATGCGGGGCAGCCTTGAGCTTCTTCCTCACCCGAGGCCGTTGCAGTGGCCGGAGCTTGGGAAGGGGCTGACCCCGAAAGCGGGCGCCGAGACCCGCTTCGTTTCCAGCCGGTTCCTGCAGGGAAGGCAGCTGAAGGCCGCGGGGCAGGCTCCTCCACCGCCTAACCTGGCCTAGAGGGCTGTTAGGGGGGTGACGCAGAGCGATGGGTCTAGCCAAGAGGAATGAATTCCTGGCAGTACGGTAAAAACAGCCCCAATTTGGCACCAGAGCCGTGCTGGGGAGATAATTTATTTTCATTTATTTAAATGCATTAGCCGCCCAACTCCAATGGACTCTGGCCGGCGGTTCTGAATCCTACGTTTCGTTCTGAGATGTGAATTAGGGGGCTCATTTGCTTATACGCGACTTTCCAGCCGTGCCAGTTTTTTATGCGATGTTTATCATCAGAGTCGCTCCAAATTCGCTTTTGGGATGCTCGGTTCCTGCAGCCTTGCCCTGCCTGACCCAGCCTTGCCCTGACCCTCCTGCCTTCTCCCTCCGCCCAGAATAAACGGCAGGATAAACTTTGATTGCTGCGGCTGTCCGTGAAGGAGAGAGAAAAGCGGGGAGAGAAAAGGAAACTTCTCACGGCAGAAATCTTCTGACTTTTATTTCTGCCCTTCGGGAAATGTTCTAACCCAGGGTAATAAAAGTCACCCGAATGACTTCCTTCATTATCTTCATGGCAATAAATGTGAAAGCCCCTTTATGAGCGGGTGAGAAGATGCTCAGACAGGACCGTTACAAGGAAACGAAGGATACAGCGTGCGACTGGCTGATACTTTTTGTCATTCAAACTTTATTAAATTTTATTTAAACTGCAAACAAGGAGTGCGTGGGCAAAACTAAAAACAAAAAAACACTGTCCCCCCGCCCCCATTTTGACCAAGCACGGGCTATATCATTGTTTTAAGTATTATATGAATAACATTTAAATGACTGAAATAGGTGGCAAAACAGTAACTGCCCAACATTGCAATCCTTTTAGGAAATGTTGTTCCGTTAACCAAGTACAATAGCGTGCAGGTAGGTAGAACTCCCCCCCGTTAAAGGCAAAGTCATAATGTTTTTTTATCCAGCTGGGTTTGCACAATACTCTGAAGTTGGTTATTGAATTAAACCATTCCCATTGTACGCTGAACCCTAAAACTGAAGAGATAGGCTTCCTCTTAATCACGGTTGCCATGTTGTGCAAATGTATCAGGTCTTCCGCTTCTGCTTGAGATGAATTACACCAAGAGGTTATGATAGATTAAATCCACTTCATATGCCTCTTTCAAAGTACTATACATTAAAAGGGGCACTGGGAAAGGAAGGAGGACGTGACTACTAAAGGGGAAAAAATATTTTCCAAACACTGAGGAATAATAAGGAAAAAGCAGAGACCTTTTAAGGCAGCTGAGTTAAAAGAAGGCACCCTTTTCCTGCTTCCAATTTTTTGCATTCTTTCTCTCAGCCCTGGGGCAAAATGAGACTCCCACTACATCCTGGTGTCCACATCAATCCGTGTTAGAAATAAAGTTGTACCGTGACCCGTCCTGGCCCAGCAGCTAAAGCTGGCAGTGAAATTAGAGAGAATGGGCTGTTTCAATCATACTCACCTAAATGAGGGAAATGCACTTTCTGGATGGGACAAAGGCATTACGTTTCTAGAAATCTAACCGGAATCAGAGGCAGCCGGCTTTAAACTGGTTGCTGGGAGCCAGAGTGAACAACCTACCAGTCAAAGCTTGCGAGCCTCTAGCTGGCCACCATGCTGGACTAAATGGGCCAAGGCCCTAATTGGATCTACTACGACTGCACTGCCGTTTCACGGGCAGCCACAGGATGGATTTAAATCAACGTTTTCCAAACTTGTCAAATTTAAGATGTGTGGACGTCAACTCACACATCTTAAAGTTGACAAGTTTGAAAAACACTGATTTAAAGCTCCCTCAGTGGGACTGAACTTTTCTTTCATTTTTCCCATTTTACAAGCAGCTAAGGACGTTGCCTTTAATCCACTCAATCAGTAAGTCAGACTAAGTCAGGATATGAGAAGGTACCCTGTGTTAATCGAACACGGATACGAAAGTTCAAGCAATTGCTTTAATTTCTGGAAGCAACGGACTCGGAGCACTTCTGATGCTGTTTGGGGGTAGGGTGCGCTAAAGTAACAGGGTGTGAAAAAAGGAAATATTAAGCAAGTACTGTATCTTTCCTTCTAACATTGTTTAAAAAAAAAATCAGGAGTTCTTTTGCTACCCCAGACCCACACAGCTATCCTGCAACATTCTTCCGAAATAAGGTTTATTTGGTTTCATTGGGGTCCCCGACCGGCCCGCTATTCACCTCAGCTCAAGGCCCTGGCTTGGCTGCAGAAGGGCCTTTCCTAAACTGTCCATTTTGGAGATCCTGCTGAGGATTCCATCTGGACCAGCTGGCTTCTGTGCACGGAAAAGGCCGCCCGTAATCAAATTAACAGTCAGGCTGGCAAGCCATCCATGGACGACTTGAACTACTGGCTTGGCGGGCATGTGTAAGAGAGCGGATGGTCTTCCAAGGACTTCCCTGAATTTCGGGGGAACCTGGCAGCCTGCCTGCTTAGGTTAATGAGTTCTCCACACTGAAGTGTTCCAGAGTTTATTTCCCACCATCTGGAAAATGCCCGCTCCTTCCGCTGGGATTTGCAAGGGTTCAGCCAAGAGAAGAGGTTATTAAAAACTTCAGGACTGGAAAAAAGTGTCTTCCATCTGCTCGGCTTCGGCAGAGTGGAAACCACGGCCCCTGAGCGCCTCTGTCACAGAGCTGTCTTGCTAACCCTTCGGATCGCTTTGCAGACGCCGTGCTGCTGCTGACGCCATGGGGAAAGGACCAGTCTTTGATAGGATGCAAATAAGGCTACTGAAAATTCATATTTGACCCCAGCATGGTAACTGAATGCTTAAAAGAAAAGAAAAAAACGAACAACCAAGCAAACCCTTTGATGTCTGAATTAAGATGTTTGCTGATGCATGCAACCAAGCCATGAAGCTTTGGCCAGTCTGCAGACTCCTTCCATTGCTAGCCAGGTTTCTGGGTATATTGTTTCTTAAGAACACACTTAACCAGGACTGCCAAACGTGCCTTATTAATTTTCACAGAAATTGTGTAAGAACACCAGTCTTATGTCTTTCAACGGGGATGGTGTAGAATAACACAAGAACTCCAGAACACTCTCCTGGTTCCCACCTGAATCCTACCCAGTCCAGCACTGACCAGCGCAGGGTTGGCCACGGCAACGGCAGTGATTTGCACAACGGCACCTGGTGCAAAGGACATGCGCCCTCCTCCACCCAAACACAGAGCCTTCATTTTTCCCACCCAGACTTCCTACGTGTCCATGGCTCTTGCAAGAATTGTCATATCCAAGCAGCTTTCCCCAAACCAGTGAACTTCAGATGCCTGGCAGTAGCACTCCCATAATCCCTAGCAAACAAACTAGATTAACTGGGGATTGTGGGAGTTACGGTTCAGCCCCAAACACCTCTATTGGTCTGGTCACTCTCACAGCTACCTCCCAAAGATCAGCCCTTTGTACAGATCGCCTGGAGGTCTTGTGTTTTTGCTTTATTTTTCAGCCACACCAGATTTCAATATAGTCCAGCAGACCCGGGACCAACTGGTTTAATTTCGCTTCCCCTCTCCTGTCCAATTTTACAGTCACAACCACTTCTGGAAAGAGCTGAAGTGGAAGGACAACATGGCCAGTGACCTTCCCAGCTGACCTGAGATCTGAATGAACAGCTGCTTGCTCCTAGCTCCACAATTTATCCATTAAATGATACTGGTGCTCTGGACTCCCAGATCACACATTATGGTTTAACAAGGATTTGTTTAATGTGCCATAAACCAGGATTTAGAAGCCACAATGGCTGGATTCCTACAGGACCCTGAGCCAAAACGAATTAATGACTTGGTGTCATTAATTCCGCCCTTCCCTTTTGCCTTGGCTTCTAGGGAGTTTTGAAAACAGAACTTCTAAAAGGGTTTCTATCTTCTTCTGCATTTAATACTGACCTCTCCGAATGCTCTGAAGGCTGCTTCCACTGGGGACTAACCTGTGGCTTCCTCTCCCAGCTGGACCGTGTGGGGTGGTCAGAGTTTACCTGGAGAAGGGTGGGGGTGGCAGCCAGTGGGAGTTGCAGGTAAATCTGGAGCCCCTGTTGGGTCTCTCCTTCCGCTGCTAATAGGACCTGTGCATGCACATGATCCTCACTGTGGAATTGGTGCCTGTGCGCAAATCATTTTGGGATTTATGGCTGAGCAGTTTTGACATTTCCACTTCATACGATGACAAAAGAGACCCATGGAATTCTAGAGTTGGAAGGGCCTTTTGGGTCCAGCTTCTACTTAGTGCCGGAAAACAAATGAAAGCAGCCGTGAATGGTGGTTGTCTGGTGAAGGGGAATCTCCCCTTTTTCTTAGTTACAGACTCCGCTCTCAGTCACACCCAGTCTCCTGGATTCGGTTTCCGATCCCCACATCATCCTTCTGGCCTCGGTGGAACCTTCTACCCGGGCCGCTTAATTGGATTTTCTTTTAAAGGTAAGTGTGCCCCCCCTCCTCCCCAGGAGTGGGCTTAACATTTGTGCACCTGCATAGTGGTTCGCCTTTTCTTGCTGTTTTGATCAATCTGGTTGAGTCAAGAGGCAAGGCAGGGCAGGTCGGGGTGGAGGAAAGCAGGAATAAATCCAATTTAGGCACACAGTTGCTGCATCATAGTCAGCAAATCTGTTTTCATCCACGGCAGTTTGTAAGACTGTTCATGGCACTGATGCTTATCGTTTCTTGTGCTGAGAGCAGAACGACACGGCAGTCGCAGAAGATTGGGTGGTTGGGGTTTGAGATGGCTCCTCGCCTGCAGCCTTTTGGCCAAACCACCAGCGAATCATCAGCGCTCCGTGAGACTCGTTCTCGGCTGAACTTCAAATTGTGCTTTCTGACAGCAGAAGATGCCTTTCTCTGCATCCAGCTGCTACGAATGGGGAAACTCCATTCTGTAACTATTTTCAGATAAGGGGAGAGAGAAGGTCATTGGGGAGAGGCCGTGTTCAGCTGTAGAGCACGGCAACATCTTCCCTGCTAGTGGCAGAAATTTCTCTTTCAGACCTCTGGAAAAACGTCGCTTGGGGTGCCTTCTGAGGATCAAATATCCAAGCGAGACGTTTGCATGTATCAATGATTAAGAGTTGTGTGCAGTATTAAGGGATGACAAGCACATGTAATCTAGGCAATGCGCGATTTATCTGGCACAGCTCAGAAACAAAGAACCTTTACCGCTGATGTGATCTTCTTCCTAGCCCACATAAATGCATCCTTGCTAGTAATTCAGCACTAGTGGCATTTTGAAGGATGAGCCTTCCAGATGTTTGGGCTGTAGCTATCCAGACTGGAAGTCAGGGGGTAACACAATGTTTGTTTCATGAAATGGCCCATGGGTCAGTCCTCCTTGGCTACCCTTGAATCACAAGGAATGGAAGATCAGAAGCCATGAAGGAAGGTGCTTCACGCCTCCTCTAGACCTGTCAATTCCCACCCAGCTGCCGTTGCACAAATATTGTGCTGTTTCCTCTGAAGAAAAACTAGACTTGGATTGTGCGTCCTACAAGGCAGCTAAATCAATTAAAGGGTTTGGGGACCCTTGCAAGAGAGAACGGGGAATGGAGTCCTATCTCCTGGCTACCCATTCACCCATGAAAGGGCCTTTCTACTCCTACAAAAGCATCAAAGGAAGTCACCTTTCAAGATCAAATTGTAGATGATTCCTACCATGGTGGATGCTTCCCAATGCTCACTGCTTGAAAGCTGGGATAAAAGATTTCTTTTGGAGCAGGCTGGTGAAAATTGCTCTCTTCCCGCTCATGGGGACGAACGAGCACAGAGCAGCCATGCCTTCGAAAAGACCATCTGGGATTTTGTAGCCCTCAAAGAGCCATTTCTCTGATCTGTGCCTCACGTGGTGGCATGTGCAGGATGGGAAGGGAGCCCCCAACACTCAGCGAGCCCCGCTTGTAACCATTCTTAACAGCCCCTCCACGGAAGAGGTGGAATTATTCTAAAAGAGCACTGGTGTATCCAAGGAGCCCACAATGCAAGAATTAAGAGTTCCAAAATGATCTTTTAATTTTCCAGCTGAACCAAGAGGAAAACAGGGTATGGAAAACACGGGACCAGATCAGATCAGAGGAAGTGATTTTGCTTTGTGTTCTAGATGGAGGCATTAGGCAGACAATAACATACAGACTTTCCTACAGTAAAATGTTGCTGCCCCCCCCACCACCACCAAAAATGTTTCTAATAAAGCAAGAATAGCCCACTGAGTTCTCAAAGTTGTCAGGGTCTTGACCGATCCAAGTTTTTTTCGCAGTAGGCAGAAGGGGGTGTTATCAGATCTGAACTAGCTGTGATGGGATTCTGCAACGTGAATGCCTGGGAAACCCTCCTTGAAATCCATCTACATTCCTTCAAATGTCATCGGCCACATTTCGGTTTTTGATAGCCTTGTAGTGATGACTTGGCATCTGCCAGGCAAATATCTCAACTTCCACTGGTCCCATTGCCAGTCCTTTCTGCAAGGCGGGGTCCTGAAGCCAAGCTAATGTGATGACATGCACTGTGCAAGCAAACCCAGCATCTTCAATTGGTGTAATCCAAAAAAAAAAAAAATGCTACTAAGTTCTAACTGCTAAAGTTATGCATAAGGACCCACACTCTGGAACAAAAAAAGCCCAACACCACCAGGTAGCTAATTGCAGCACATACCTGCATGAAGATAATTGTGACAAATACTGAAAATTGATGACCATTCATCGAGAATGATCTTATTCTGGAAGGAACTCACATTCATAACTTGGCCAAATGCATCATTTTTGCTAAACAATGATCCCAAATGTTTCTCTGGGAAAAGGAATTCCTTAACATCAGTGTAGCTGCATCTCAGAATAGCATTAGGCCAGCCAGGAACGGGAGCAATGTCAATTCCTCTTGTTTTTACAGAGCTGAACCTTGGCTAGAAACTGGTCCTCAGCTTTTCTCCAGTTCAGGTCCCTCTGCATCAAACAGGCGACTGACATTCCTCCTTTTCCTCTTCCCCACCCTTATCCACCCATTGGAACTCACAGAGAAGCAACTCCCCATTAACTGCACTCAGTCCCAGTTCTTATGCCACAGACAGAACAATCCCAGCGTGCCACAAAAAAGGTCTCCGATTCCCCCTGCCCGCCCCACACCAGCAGAGAAGCTAACTGAAAAGGACAGAATACCCAGACATGACCCGCAGAGACATTTCCCCTCTCTGCTCCTACGGGCTGCAGAGAAGCGCGGCTCCTTCTGGTTTCCAGCAGCCGGAACTACACGGTGGTGATCTTCTTGTCCTTGGTGGCTTGCTTGATGGCGGCCTGCTCACAGATGATCTCCTTGAGGCGCTGCAGCCTCATGTTTTGCGTGGTCTGGTCTCCCACACCGGTCTGGCTGCGGTGGAGCAAACGCAGGGCATAGATATACTCCAGCTCCGTGTACTTCACTCCTTGGTCCACCACCAGGTTCAGCACCTCGTCTGCTGTGTTGTACAGCATCTCGTAATACTGCCTGCAAGGCAAAGCCAGACCTTCCATCATCGCATTGCTAATACTTGCTACAGCCATTTCTTTTTTACTTTTTTTCCCATGGGGTTTCCTGCAACACAACATTTTTCCTCCGCAGAGGTAACCCTTCGGACGCCGCTCACCTTGACCAGGCAGGTCTTCAACCTAAGAGGTTAAGAACACATTTTGGTTTGTGAACAGGAGAAAAGAGGAAAGAGAAAGGCGGCCCAAAAACACACACAGCGAAGCTGTTCCTCCTAAGATGGAATTAAAATGGGTCCCCTACAGAAAAGGGTTTGGATTGGGATGGGATGGGCGAACAGCAGCTTTAAGTCCAAAATGTCTCCTCCTCTGCCCACATCCTGCAGCCAAGGCTGGCTGCGGGAGAAAAGGGCCGAGGGTTTTCTGAAGTCTCCAGATTGTTGCTGGGTGAAGAGCCATGAAGTCTGGGATCGGAAAGGATTGACTCTCAGTGCTCTATGTCAAGCTACATGTGTCCTCTTCTCTGCCAGAAGTCAAGCTCACTGCTTTCAGGACTTATCTCTCCGTCACTGGAAGATCAGATTATTTTTATTTAAAATAAACCATCATTATAAAAGGGAAGAAGCAGCATTCCTTCTGAGCTGGCTGCAATTAAAACCTCAGTCTGCTTGGCCTGTTCTTGCCTTTGGCCGGTCATCCCGTGTTTGGGAAAATATTTGTTTGATTAGGCGCTCAGCTCAGTCTTTGCCTCCCTTGTCGGGGAAATGTATTAATAAATATTGATCAGGAGCGCTTCCTGTTGTCTTTTGCCAGAGCAATTCGGTTCAGCCTGTTCTCCTGATGTTATCAAATAATGAGATAGTGAAATCCGCCATTTAGCTTACTGTCTTTCATAGGTTTTGCCTCCAGCTGTTAGAAACGTTCTGTCTGGCTGTGGGAAGAGACCGGGCAGACACACTCTGGCGAGGGCAGACACGGAGCTTGATTCAATGGTGAGGACAACTCTTAGCAGGCCTGGGCGGAATTCTTGCTATTGGTGCTTCGGCGAAACTGGCACCAGTACAACACATTGTACAGACCTGTTTGTATTACAGTGATTATGACTACTGACCACTAGGGGGCACGATAGTTCAGATGAGTTCCAGCAAGAACAAAACCAGTCCTATAGTGCTTCCTAGGGGTCTGTAGTGATAACTCCTGTAATACATAATTATCCCGGGGTAAGTCTTGAGGCCTCTACTACGAAGCCCAAATTAACACCCAGAGCATTCTAGTTTGAGAGTGGAAAGAAATACAGGTAGTCCTCGGGTTACAACCATTTGTCCAGTGACTGTTCAAAGTTACGATGGCACTGAATGAATGGTACTTACGACAGGTTCTTGGAGTTCTGGCCATTGCAGTGTCCCTGTGGTCACGTGATCGTGATTTCTGGCCTTCCTTGCTGGCTTCCCACAAGCAAAGTCAGTGGGGAAGCTGGCAGGAAGTTGGGAGTTGTGGTCACATGAGGTCCTCACTTAATGACCCGTGCGGTCCTTGCTTAGCAACAGCAACCAGGGCTGCTGGAACTGCTGTCACTAAGCAGCACAGCCATATGACATCACGCTTTCCAACCAGTCCCAACTGCTGTCCTAAGTACCATCTGAGGACTATCTGTAAGAAAAGATGGTCTGCCATCTGTAGCATTTACAATCCTCTTTGCTGTGCTGTTTCAGATTAAAAGTGGAAGATCCCATGTTTTAAATTCTTCCTTAAAGGACAATGGGCAAACAGGGGAACAGGTTTCTTCCCACTGATCTCCCTCTTTCTCTTTTCTTTGAATGGGAACAAAAATACGACACTCTCCGTTCTGCAGTCTGAGAGGTCCATTCCAGGAGAAATGGCAGTGCAGGACTCTCTTGATGCTAGTTGGGGAATTCTAGGAGTTGAA